TTTAGTTTGGTTTGGTGTATTTTGTTTTACGGCATATCAACCTCAATGGGTTATTTAATGCCGACAACAGTTTTAGGATAGATTCGTATGAATTGAATATGTATTCTTTGGTTTAGATTGGTTTGGTTTATTTTGTTTTACGGCATATCAACCTCGATCAGCGTGGACCTGGGAACACCAGCAAATAAGAGTTGGTTCCACGCTCCTCAAAACCTCCTGATCCGAGCCCTTACTGTTGGACGTAGTTTATCGTCTTACTCAAGACGCGGATGTAGTTTATCGTCATACCCAGGACGCGGATGTAGTTTATCGTCATACCCAGGACGCGGATGTAGTTTAACGTCTTAGCCAGGACAGAGTAAAACGGTGGGAATTAGATGCTAGTCTATTAACTTGATGAAAAGTTTTGAACCAGGTAATCGAAATTTGATTGGGAATTACAAGATGCAGCAGAAAATGCCAACATTTAACTTTAACTACCGTATTTTTGTGTATAATACGACTTGAGTGTATAATACGCTCCTGTCGTACAGCCATCCCTATTTAGACATTTTTTTTTTAAATTTGAACCATATTATCCATTAAAATCTCAATGTCGCACATATGTCATACATATTATCCATTAAAATCTCAATGTCGTACATATTATCCACTAAAATCTCAATATCGTACATATTATCCATTAAAATCTCATTCTCTTACCTCTAAAATATCTAACTTTTCATGATTTTAAAGAATAGAAATTAACCCTTTGTTTATCTATTGCGAGTTTCTCCTAATTACCGTTTCAAAAATTATTTTCGGGACAAGGTGCTAGCTAGATATACCCGGTAATACATTTTAAGGTAAGGTATTAAGCTATCTTACTTTTCTATTTGATATGACTGTATTATGTTACTATATATTACCGTATTTTCCGGCTTACAAGACGCGTTGTTTTCCTAAAAAATTACCCTGAAAAAAAAATACGTGTGTGTCTTCCAAGACGAATTTAAGGCAACGCCCAGGCTCAGGTAAGTTTGGACAGTCACCTAATTGGCTTGACTATAAGGGACGTGGATTTGTATGTTGAGTCATTACACTATAATGTTAGTTATCTATCTAATTCAGCCTTTTATATGATGTAACCCCAGTACTTAGCTGTTACAAGTATTTCCAAGAATAAAACCTTCCTGGAGCCGAGCCACAATCTTAAACATGTTCTATTTCCAAACAGCGGCGGGAGCCTTTCTGCTCTTGACTAGTATGTCATTGCCATACAAACAAAATCGGACAAGTAATTAATATAAACAATACGTGACGGCGGCAGTATGTAAGAGATGCATGGTGAATGTGTTTTTGTATGAAAACTACTTCTTTTCTTAGAAATTTCTTTCCAATATTAGGGCGTGTCTTCCAAGCCACAGTATCTTATAAAACGGTAAGAAAAATGTCATTCATTACGAATGAATGGAGAAAACTTTATAAAAAATAACAATATCAAAATATAAACACTTTTTTCTTGCGGTTACACATGTTTTGTTTTTTAAGCTGCATAAACATTTCTGAAAATACGTACGTGTGTGTAATATTTTACTTTTAATTTTCGTTGAAACTTTCTCGTATTCATTGGACTCCTTCTATCCCGAGGGACAATAAGAGTTACGCCGTGAGTTTATTCATCTGTCATTGGCGTTTGCGGGTCCCTCTTTACCTCCCCTCAATCCTCTCCCAGCCTTTACCCCAGTTGCGTTCTCTTCCCTACGCCCTCCCACAATCTGCCCCGATCTCCAGTAACAGCTTTCCAACCAGCTGGGTCGATACCACCTGCCTTCATGTCACGTTTGCACACAACCTTGCAGCGAAAGTTGGCCTTCCTACACGTCTGGAACGAGTAGTCAATTCGCCGTAGAGCATATCCTTTGGGATGCATCCATTTTCCATGCGGCTGAAATAGCCGAGTCAGGGCAGGCGCGTCTGAGTGAGCAAGGCAAACATGCTTGGATGCCCACCTATGCCAGGATAGATTTTTGGGGGCACGTGGGCATGCTATGTAATGCCCAGGATCCGTCGGTGACAGCGCAAGTGGAAGGCCTTTAGCCTGCATTCTTGGTAACAGTACAGTGTCCAGCAATCGTTTCCACAGAGCAGTGTACTCAACACACAAGCTCAGTAAACTGTCATTTTGTTGTGGACAGTCAGCTGGGTATTATCCGAGCCCCTTCTTGCCAGACGCGACATCGTATTAAACAAGAGAAAATACAGTAAACAATTCTTCTTTTATGTACCGTCCATGATCGCCTATATCCTGACGTTGGCAATCATGGACCTCGACTCCCTCCATTCCCTTGTAGTTCTTAATAACTTTTATCTTTTTTATTTCTCCCAAACCTTTTTCACCGTCCATTTGCTCAAACCCATTAAGTATGTTAGGCACTGCTTTTCTTTTGTCCCTACTTCCCTATAGAAATTTCAATTGCCTCTTCCTGATATTAAGTATAAATTACCTCTTTGTTTCCATTTTCTCCAAAGCCTCGTCGTTGCGCATATGTTCGATTTATGGTATTCTCATCATCTTTCTGTAGAACCACATTTCTGTTGCTTCAAGTCCAACATTCGCTGCCATACAGGAGGTCAGATATCACGTAACAGTTTAGTACTCTTTTCTTTGTTTCTAATGAAATTTTTCTGTCTCTTAATTCTCTGCTTAGCTTTTAGAATGCATCTTTCGTCATCCCAATACGTCTTCAGATCTCAGTGTTGTACTTTCCGTTCTCTGTTATATTTCCTAGATATTTAAATTTCTGAAGCTGCTTGATTTTAGTATCCCCGACGTATTGTTTGCATTTTGGGTCTTTTCTTTTGCTGATAACCATGTATTATGTCTTTTAGTTTATGTTTAGTTCTTTATTCTCGCTTTCAATCCCTACCTAATGTAGGAGGTCTTGTAATTTCCTCTCCGTGTCTGCTATCAACACTGTGTCATCTGCATATCTTATATTGTTAAGATTCTGGCCACCAATAACGCATCCTCGTAGGGCTTCTAATTCTCTCAGAATTACCTCGCTGTATAGGTTGAATAAATCTGGTGAGAAGATACATCCTTGTCTTACACTCCTTTCCATTTTTGTCTATCTGCTGAACTTATTTTCTATCTTTAGGCAGGCGGTTTGCTGCCAGTAGAGGTTTCTGAGTATTCTAATGTCCTACTCAAATATGTCCAGGTTGCTGAGCAGCTCTAACAGATCTTTGTGGCGTACTTTCTCGAACGTCTTTGTGTAGTCTATAAAACATAGGTGCACGCTCTTCTGCATTAGTATTGCTCTTTTTGGTAACATTCTGAGCATAAATATAGCATTCCTTGTTCCGGCTTCTTTGACGAACCAGGCACTGTTCTTGTCCTATCTCTGGCCTGATTCTGCTGTGTGCTTTTCATCAGAATTCGGATTATGCGTTTTGTTGTGTGGCTCATCAGGCTAATTGTTCAGTGAAATTCACATTCGTTTGTGTCTGGTTTCTTAGGCATTTCTATGAAAATAGATTTGCTTCCGTTTTCTACTATATCCCCACTGTTGTAGATTTCGTTTATTATTTCTTTGATATTTTCTATGCCGAAGTCGTCTAAGGCTACCAGCGCATCTACTATAATTCCGTCTGGCCCTTCCGCTTTGTTTCTGTTCAATTTGCCAGCTTCCACTTCTGTTTTCAATATTTCGGTATTTCTGTGTATTGCCAGTTGTTTTCTTTCGACATCCAAGTGTTCGCCTATATATTCGTTCCCTCTCTAAAATATTTCTTTTTCTCTAATATCAGCGTTCCGTCTTTGGATTTTATGCATCCTGTTTATGACCATGTCTTTGTCCTTTGGTTCTCTTGTTTTTTTTTATGCCTGTCTCTTTTATCTTTCATTGAACCATTCTTCTTTACCCTTTCTGCATTTATTCCTTATTTTCTTGTGTAGTGTTCTGTATTCCGTTCCGTGTGTTGGCATTGTTTTCTGCCTCTTTTGAATCATGTCGAGAGACTCATTTGTCCACCATTCTTTTCTTCTTCTTCCTCCATTTTCTTTTGTGATAATCTCATTTGCTGATGCCACTAAAGCTTCTCTTAGTGTGTCCCACTTCGAGTTTCCATTTCCATTTTGCCCCTCGCATCTGCTTTTCACACTGTTTATATATTTTTCCTTCGGGCTCTTGATCACGATGACGGTCGTTTTTGAGTATAGAATCCAGAGGTTAGCAGTGAATATTTCGAAGACAGTAGGAAAGCGTTATTCAGGTTAGCAGTGGATATTTTGGTAAAAGTAGCAGAGCATAGTTCGTCCTTCTGTTTCTCTTCGCCTGACAAGCTGGAGTGGACATTCGGGTAGAGTGAACAAAATGGCCGCCTTTTATGCACGACGGATTGAATATTCTACGTCTTCTGATTTGTTAACCTTCTATTGGTGGACTATAAAGTGAGTCAAGTCATTTGGGCTAGCTCACTAGTAGATATATACACAAAAAAACTGCAACACGGGTTTGGGTCTCTCAGGAGTCTTTTGTATCGCAATTTTGGTGCTGCCTTAGAATTCTTAATCTTCTGTAGTTTCACTCTTAGTTTACATATAACAGGGAGGTGATCGCTCTCTGCAGTCGACACTTGAATAAGTTCAAAATGGCACCCAAAATTATTGCGCTTTGTGACAATAACTTTTAATTCCTTTAGTCTTAATTTTGAAGGTCTCTGATGTACGGGGCATGTGATCAATTAAGTTATCGTTGTCCTGAAATCAAGGGTGGATTTATACATGATATTGACATCTTTACGACGATAAATGAAAGAGAATGTACAGAAGGGGGACTGATAGAAAATAAAGGAAAAGAAACACTGGAGGTGAGGTAAAAGGAAGAGGTGTGGGAGTCAGAGAATTAAAAGAGAGACCAGGGGAAATAATTTTGAATAAAGGAAACGGCTATGTTTTATTGCGAATAAAAGACGGACCTTAGGTGCTAAATAAAGGACAAAACTTCGAGGAAAAGTTACATACGGATATTAGAGTGTATGTTAAATAGAGCGTATTGCAAGGAAGTAGGAGAAGCCAAGATATATTCCGAGAGGTGGTAAAGAAAATAAAACGAGAGAGAGACAGTGAGTGAGAGTGAGAGAGAGAGAGTGAGAGAAAGTGAGAGAGAGAGAGAAGAATAAAGACAAGTAAATATGAATAGAATGAGGATGGGCGATTGATAAGATACAAAGTAATATAAACAAGATAGATAGATAGATAGATAGATAGATAGATAGATAGATAGATAGAAAATGTGATTGAGAGAGAGAGGAACAGACAGGAATAAATATATAGAGAGAGAAATGAACAAACTCAGATAGATAGATAGATAGATAGATAGATAGATAGATAGATAGATAGATAGATAGATCCACAAATATGAACTGAGATTGAGAGAGAGAGAGGAACAGACTGGGAAATAAAAGAGAGAGAGAGAGAGAGAGAGAGAAAGAGAGAAATGAACAAACTCAGATAGATAGATAGATAGATAGATAGATAGATAGATAGATAGATAAAGTCGCTGAGATAGATAGATAGATAGATAGATAGATAGATAGATAGATAGATAGATAGATAGATAGATAGATAAGTCAACTGAAATTATATGAGAATATATAGGTAACAAAACAACAGATGTTGATTAAATGGAAGGTTGTGGGCAGAAATAATGAGAAGGGCGTTGACGCTGTGTGGCTGGCGGTCAGTTGCGTGCAATGAGATCCGATTCAAGTGAGAGCGACTTTGTCCGACTATCGCGTTGCTTCGACGATAAATTACCTGTCAACTCGTCCAATCAATCAGAAACCCGACTTTGTTGGTCTCTCGGCCATTCAATCGATGGGGTTGGAGCTGACAAAGCCACAGATCGATACACACCACCACACAGCAACACACAAGCCCTCCCATGAGACTTAAAGAACGCACTCCTCAAAACCCGCACCCTAGTCCCTTGCAACGTCTCGTTTGCCTTACACCAATCTCTCTCTCTCCCTCACTCTCTCTCTCTTTCTCTCTCTCACACACATGCACACACACCCCCGCACACCCCAACACACACATGCACACATACACATCCCCACACACACATGCACACACACACACGCGCGAGCACACACACACATGCACACACACACACACATTCTCTTACTCTTTTTGGTCGCTCTAATCTTCTGTACTTTCTAACACTGCTTCTTTTAATGTTTCTGTCTGTCTGTCTCGATATCTGTCTCTTCTACACACACACACATACTATCTAAACACAGTCACATGCACACACACTCTAAAAACACACACACACACTTACTCTTCAGTCTTTTTTAAACTGCTCCTTTTAATATAACTAGCTGTCTGTCTGTCTTTCTCACTCACTCACTCACACACACACACACACACTTCTCTTTTTTCTCTCTACTCTTCTGTTCTTCTTTTTCTTTTTTAGGATTTTTTTTTTCAGACTGTCTTTCTATCTCTCTCTCTCACACACACACACTTTCTCTCTCCTTCCCTCTACCCGTAATTCCCTCTCTCTTTTTCTCTATCTCTTTCTGTCCCCCTTTCTCTTTGTATACTTTACTCCTTCTCAATTTTGTCTTTCTTATCAGAGTCCGCCTGTCTTTTCTTTCAGTTTCTCTCTCACTTTCCCTTTTCTTACTTTGCACAGAATGACAAAAGCATTCTCTTTGTTTTGTCTGAGACCCACAAGACCTGTGACACTCAGTGAGAATCGAAATCATTGCATTGGGGATGCGTTTATTCTTTAACTCTCCTTTTACTGTAGGAAAGGAATTAGGATCGCTCGGGTCGAGAAACTGCCAATCACCATACTGTGTTAATTTCTATGTCCGCACGATCTATACGACCAATTATTCCCATATATATATATATATATATATATATATATATATATATATATATATATAAAACAAAACTTAAAACAACACACAAACAATACACACACATATATACGGTCCTGAAGAGTTGTTGTTCTTATATAGCCAAGAAATTCCGAAGTAAACATGAGTTAAGTGAAAAAAACAAACATTTTCATATTAATTCTATTATCGCTCTAACTCTATCTCCAATATTGGGCACTTCATCAAAAAACCTGCTTGCCTTTAAATATCGCCTCAATCAGCAAAACCACTGAAAATCTAGCAATTTTGGCTTTTACAAACTGTATTTCAAATTAACACACGTACACACACACACACACACACACACACACATATATATATATATATATATTCTTGGAATACACCAATCTTATATATATATATATATATATATATATATATATATATATATATATATATATATATATATATATATATATATATATATATATATATATATATATATATATATATATATATATATATATATATATATATATATATATATATATATATATATATATATATAGGTATAGGATTGGTGTAAATAGCTGACAGACTGGGTTCTATAGCCTTGGATGGCAACTGGTCTAGGAGAAGGACAACTCTGAATTCAAATCCTGCAGAGGGTTGTTTGGGGACCTTGTGGCACGTCGTGCACCAACTCTCTGTATTCGGCCTTCTAAAAGTGTGGATTGTTCTGCACGAAATCTTCACCACTATAATCAGTTCTCATGTGCTGTTGTCGGGCTGTCGGTTTCCTGTGAACGGATCTGCTTGACCCTCACACGTCGAATTCGACGGGAGAGTCGAGAATATATATATATATATGTGTGTGTGTGTGTGTGTGTGTGTGCGTGTGCCAGGTTTAACAGCATAATTTTCCATCCCACAAAATATATAATATCTAAAAGAAAACATTAAACTGAGTTTATTTTTTTACCAGGATTTGAAAGACGTTTAAACATCTTGACGCCATTTATCGTAAGAATCACTGAAAAACTCATTTTATATCAGACCCACTGTTTTCCCAACTGAGCAACGGTGAGATGAAAAAGATCTTTCGGGCTTTCAGTAATGATACTAACATTCATACTCTGGCTTCCATCTTCAATGTCCATTCAAGAACCATCAAGAGAACGGTTAATCCGTTTTAAAGAGGAAACATTAGAGCGGAAAACTGAATCAGGAGATCACAACAAGAAGAGGGACCATCATTTTAATTTACATCTAAAGAGCCAGTTCAATCCATAAGACGTTTGGCACGTGAGAGAAGAGTTTGAACGATAGCAGTCCAAAGAGCAGTGAAAAAAGACTTGAAAATGAAACCGTACGTGAAACGTGTGAGGCATCTTGTTAATCCAGGACAAAAAGTTAGAAGCTGAGAGAGGGCGAAGATCATCTTGAATAAGTTGAAAATGAATCTGGAATAATATATATATATATATATATATATATATATATATATATATATATATATGAACTTAATTTCAATCCGACATGTGCTTCTGATGATTAATTAATGACGAACATGTCATTTTCGTTTGTGATCGATTTCATCCCGATTTTTCTGTTAAGCTTGGATAGTAATTATACATTCGTATTGCTCAAAGTAGAGTCCAATATTGTTATAAAAATCTCGGGCAATTCTAGTGAGTTATCTTAAATCATTTCGAAGATACAACGGTTCAAAACTGTATATGACAAATGGACAATTTTGCTGTTATATGACTTGGACAATTTTGCTGTTACGCCTGCTATATATTTATGGAGAAAAGGTGTGTGACAAATGGAAATCTTTTTCGTGCGACGCGTTGCCTCCTTTCGGACGTCATCGGACGAAACACGTCACACGGAATCTTTTTCCACTTTGTTATACACCTTTCCTCCAAAACTGTTCTTGTTATATAAAAAAATTATATATCTTTATCGTATGTGTATATACATATGTACATAGTATGACTCTCTCTCTCTATCTATCTATCTATATACATATATATATATATATATATATATATATATATATATATATATATATATATATATATATATATAGTCATTCACAGACAGACAGTTCCGCTGTATCACTGCTTATCAGTGTGGTAAGGCATCCGTTTGTTTCAAGCCGGGATCGAAACCCGACTGATTCGGCAACAATCGGAGATTTTCCCCCTAAGCCAATTTTTATGTACTCGTTCTGTGAATAAACACGACAATGCCCGAGAGAGCTCAATTCGGAGAGGAGGAAGAACCTTGTAATATTAGGAGTAATAATCATTGTTTACAAATTCGCACTTGTCTTCCAAGAGTGCACAATCGGATATAAAGGATAATGATGATAGAAAAACTAGTTTTAGCCGACGCATTTCGTGCAATGTGGACTTTTTCAAGGTAAAAAACGAAATGAATTTATTGAAACGAAGTATCTATCAACAACAAAGTGATGTTAACAACTAGAAGAAGTTAGAAACGCTTTTGTATATTATGCATATTGTCAACTGAAAAATTACGTCAATTAATTTGTTGACGGATTCAACCGTTTTCTTTTGATTTCTGATATATATATATATATATATATATATATATATATATATATGTATGTATGTATAAGTATAAGTAATTATACTCGTCTGGAAAAACGTTAGGCGTTTTGGCTTGTAAAATGAACAAACCAATGCCCAAGGAAAAATCAGGGATAAAAAAAGAAAGAATTAAGAACATGTAATTGAGGCGAAAGCAATCGTCCAAAATCCAAGTTCAGAGTTCAAAGGAAAAATCACCAGAACGAGTAAAGCAAATGGTTTGCTTGGCTCTTTATGTTCATAGTAACTAAGTAAAGTGCTCAATACACTAAGTAGAGCAAATCTAATATGAACCTAAAGAGCCACGCAACCCCCCACCAAGGTTTTACCTACGTGGATCATCAGGGTAGGTTTGGCTGGCCTTTTAGTTTTAGTTATATAGTATATATATATATATATATATATATATATATATATATATATGTGTGTGTGTGTGTGTGTGTGTGTGTGTGTGTAATGCCTGATTTTTTTTAACTTTTCTGGTCATCACTTACTTGTTATGTCAAACTATTCGTTGAGAATGTAGGTCTTTCCGTGTGTTGTACCTAAGATGGAAAAAAAGAGGAGCATACCGCTTTTATATCGTCTTGGTTGAAGAGGAAGTGACGTAGGTCGTTACTGATTGGTCGCTTGTGATTCCAAGATCAGTAGTGGCGGTCATTTAATCTGTCCATTTGTTGTGTGCTTGGCGGATTTTTGCTTCAGGATCGCCTGGCTGAATAAGTACTGTATCGGTAGGGTCTCTTGGGCTAAAAACTATGATGTTGGAAGACTCAAATTTTATATATATATATATATATATATATATATATATATATATATATATATATATATATACGTTATATTTTGATGTTGTGATTCTGTTAGGAGAGGTGATATTAAAAAAACAATATCGGCTATAACTACAGATTTCCTATTGTCTTTTCCTCTATACATATTGTTCTTTTTTTCACAGGTGAATTCTGAGAAATTCTTACACACACGCACAAACACGCACACACACACACACATATATATATAATTAATTGTGTATTTTGCTAAAAATCTTTCTTTTTTATACAAGTTTCATTAAAACGGCTGACAAGGTACTGCGATTAAGGTTTGTATACAATTTTTCTTGTGTTCATATAAGTGTTTTCTTTTCTCTGCATAAAGTGTGTAAAACATGTCCCAGTATTCTGTATATTCGAGCGCTTTCGTCTATTCTGAAACTTCATAAAAATACACGTTGGCTTAAATGAAAGTTGAATTTTCTCTTAGGAACATTATAATGAAATATAAAACTCCATTCGACAAGAAATAGAAAATTAAATTAATTTTGTACTATAAAAATTTGAACCAGCTAAACTCATAGCCAACAACCAGAACTTACTTGCAAAATCCAAAGTGTGTAGTTTCTCCGTAGAATGTGTGTGGGGGTGGGGGGAATAATTGAACTGTACTACATATGAACCAATCAGAATATCCCTAGTCATGAGCAGTGGAACAAGAACAGTCTACACCTGCAGATTAAATAAAGGGCTCAGTTCTGAATATGCTGCAGGTTGATATACACTGGAGGAAGTCCGGAGGGCACAACGACCGAAACGTTGTGATAAAAACAATAAAGATGAGGAAAATAGTCCGATGTAAATAGTGTAGACAAAGGAAATATTTGAAGAGATGTACAGGGTGTCCATAAAGTTCGTGTGCACTTTAAAAAATTTATAACTTTATTTGTATTTGTGATAAAAATAATCTGTAAAAAATGTTATAAAGTTTAATGTACCTAGTTTTAAGTATAGCTAAAATAACTAATGTGATTTCAGGCATTACTGTAAATCAGTTGGCAAATATTTTCTGTGAACTGCAAAATCATATTACCCTTTGTATTGCTAATGATGGAGGACATGTGGAAACTTAAAATAAAATTTCAATAAAACCTTAAAAAAATATAGATTTACTTCTTTCTAATCCTTTTTACAAATTATTTCTATCGCAAATACAAATAAAGTTATAATTTTTTTCAAGTGAACACGAACTTTATGGACACCCTGTATAAATTCAAGTGCGTGTATTACGCTGTAATAACATATACCTAATTATGCAATGGAATTGTATTTCTCTAAAAGTAAACTTTACAGAATTTTCGGAACCCATTATCACTCTCTCTTACCAAGGAATACATCATTTTTATAATGTCATTTATTATTGCAGAGATGAGTTTATAGAACATTGTCCACAATGTACATACGCGATTTAGAGCAATAACATTGTTATAAATAGACATAACCTATTTCTATACACAGACCCTCCAACCTCCCAACCAGCATAAATAACCAGCTTAGATGCCATGGCTGCAATTACTCCCTATCTTTAAACAAAAGAAATTGGCAAGGGTCGGTTTCCTTTTCTTTCTCTTCTCGTAAAACTTTTGCACAAGAGAATATAAATACAGCCCGGAAAAGGATTAGTGACAGTTAGTCTTAAAATCATATTGAAGTGTTCAAATGACAGTCACTATGCAGTGTTGATTCTCCTGTCCATACTGTCTGTATCTATAAACAAACTTTCTCCAAAAGACATACATATTTGTATGTATTTATATTTATATATGTCAGAGGTCATGGCTTGGTAGTAGATATGGGACGTCACTATCTCTGGACGTCATAGAAAGGCCCAGACTTGTATCAGTTGTACTCTGTCATCTGGCGAGTCAGTGTCAACTCACGCTAGGCCCCTCATCGCGAGGAAACATGAATTACAGGACTTTGAATTGTTTTTGATAGCGTGTTAGACAGATGAGATATATCATTGCGGGATGTGTGGAGACATTTGACATCACTCAATCAATGTGCACCGAGAATGCAGGATGGAAGGAATTACTGCCTAACTTGAATAGTGCAATGGTTGACAACGTGTCCTTAATGGCTAAAATTATTTACTGGAACAAATGAGCAACAATGGATCAAATGACAACCACATCTAATGCAAGACATACCAGACGCACGGTATTTCAGCATCAGGGCCATTTCTGCGTCTTTGGACTCTTTGGAATATGGGAGCAGAAAACCTATTAGTGTGATTCCATTTACAGCATGGCTGGCATGGGACGATGAATCACAATTACAGACGTTTGGGGCTGATGGTTAATTCCAGTTGTAGATCCATGATTTTCCTCGGCATGGGTTGAGCCTGTTGGAAAGAAAGAAAGAAATTAAAATTAAGTTATATATATATACATATATATATATATATATATATATAGAGATAGATAGATAGATAGATAGATAGATAGATAGATAGATAGATAGATAGATAGATAGTGAAAGAAAGAAAGAAGGACAGAAATAAGACTAGAAAAGATAGAAGGAAGAGAGAAAGGAAGAAAGAAAAGAAATTAAATTTATGTGATAGATAGAAAAAAGAAAGAAAGAAAAATTAAAACAGATAGATAGATAGATAGATAGATAGAAATTGAAATTAAGTGATCGATCGATCGATCGAAAGAAAGAAAGAAAAGTAAATTAAACTAAGCGATAGATAGATAAACAGATAGAGAGAAATAAAAAAGAAAAAAAAAACACAAAAAAGCAAAATAAGAAAGAAAGAATGAAAGAGACAAATTAAAATTGAGTGGATAAAAAAGAAAGAAAGAAAGAATTAAAACAAAGTAATAGATAGATAGATAGATAGAGAGAGAGAGAAATTAAGCGTGTGAGATAGATAGACAGATAGATAGATAGATAGATAGATAGATAGATAGATAGAGAGTGAAAGAAAGGACAGAAATAAGACTAGAAAAGATAGAAAGGAAGGAAGAAAGAAAAGATTTAACGAAAAATTTAAGTGATAGATAGAAAAAAGAAAGAAAGAAAAAATTAAAACTGATAGATAGATAGATAGATAGATAGATAGATAGATAGATAGATAGATAGATAGATAGATAAAATAAGAATGAAAGAAAAAATAAAATTAAGTGATAGATAGACAGATAAATAGACAGAAAGAATGAAAAATTAAAATTAAGTGATAGATTTTTTTTAAGCATTTCACCCACGCAAGGCTGGAGTCTCACTAGCACACAAGGGGTCACGGAAAGTGAAAGTAAGAGTAAAAAGGGGTTTTTGAGGAAATTATAAAGAAAAGGACGGGGATCAAGATCAAGGCATCAGAAAATATCGATTGTCATTACATTTGAATATTTGAAGATTATAGCTATCAGGGAAGCAAGTAAGAGGAAGGAAGTTTCACTGTCAGGAAGTGCGAGAGAAGAAAATGAAAGATACTGGAAGGGTGGGACCGAGATGCCAACCTAGTAGTACGCTTAAATTCGTGCTGTTTGGGAACCAGTGAAAGCAGAGGAGTTGCCATGAAAATATTTGTAGAAGAGACAGAGGCGAGCCACGTCACGTCGCTGAGAAAGTGTCAGGAATCGAGATACCAATCACATTGCATATCGGTCTTTGGATTTTGTCGAGGACCTCGAGATGAACAGCGGGGGCACCAGACCATATATGGCAAAAGTATTGAATGCAAGGCGGAATGGTAGATTTGTAGATTGAAGGATAGACTCAGGCGAGAAAAACCTTCTGGCGTGACACAGAGACCCACTTTTTCTTGCGTTAGATCAAGCTATTAATTCGATGTAGGTGTTCCACCTCAGGTCGGTGGAATACGCGAGAGCAAGAAAGCGCACAGAGACGCTCACGTAGAGTTGGGCACCAGTCATGCGTTTAGAAGGCAACAGTGTGTGGCGGGAATTCTCTATGGTGGATATATGAGAGCATTTTCGTTTTGGATGCATTAAAGTTTACAAGCCATTTACTGCCCCGGTCAACCACTGATCGGAGGTCGTTTTCGAGACCAACGGCCAGATTAGATTTGTCAGTAAATACAGGATTTACTATTGAGACAGGAGTAAATAGTAGCGTTATCTACGTAGATACCTTCTTGGGAACTGAAGACTTCAGGAAGATCCTTGATGAAGATCAGAAACAGTGTAGGATCCAGGGCAGAGCCTTGGGAAACACCAGCGTTCGTATGAAATGAACTGGAGGATAACCTGTTTGGACGACCTCCATTTCCCGGTTTGACAGGAATGATTGGATTAAATCAAATAATCGTCCTGTAATACCGTATCCCTGGAGATTACGAAGAAGGCCCACATGCGAAACCCTATCAAACACCTTAGAGATATCTAAAGTTACAGATCGAGTTTCGCCGTTATTACCAAGAGCTTGGTATACAAATTCAGTTATGGCTGAAAGCACATCAGCGGGAGACCAGATAGATAGATAGATAGATAGATAGATAGATAGATAGATAGATAGTAATTAACCTTATGAGATAGATAGATAGATAGATAGATAGATAGATAGATAGATAGATAGATAGATAGGAACAGACTGAGATAGATAGATAGATAGATAGATAGATAGATAGATAGATAGATAGATAGATAGATAGATAGGAACAGACTGAGATAGATAGATACAAACAGATTGAGAGAGATAGAAATTGTGATAGAAGTTAATCTCATGAGATAAATATATAGCTAGAAAACAGAATAAGATAGATAGATAGATAGATAGATAGATAGATAGATAGATAGATAGATAGGAGCAGACTGAGATAGATTGATACGAACACACTGAGATAGATAGATAGATAAAGAGATAGATAGATAGTAATTAACATTATGAGATAGATAGATAGATAGATAGATAGATAGATAGATAGATAGATAGATAGATTGACTGATTGATTGATTGATTGATTGATTGATTGATGGCAAGTTATAGAAGCAAGTAAATATATCTGAATATTTGCTTCATTCATCCAATAGGAAATGGTTCCTATAATACTGTCACATCTCGATTTGAGTTTTAGAGATTTCCCGCAACTCCCGACTCAATAATCATAACAACTCTTGAGAATTTCAGACAATATTAAGCAATCAGCTCCATTCTGTCCCTCCCCCTTCACATCCCTCTGACTTTAGCCAAACCTATTCAGCATTAATAATCTCCCTTCGACACTTTTCTTTTCCTCTTTCTTCTTTATCTCCTTCACGTCCCTTTGTTCGGTGACATCGCTTTACCGAAAGATTTCTATCGATCTAATTGTTCCAGACGAAAATAGGAAATATTCCTGGTTGATTACGAAGACGGGCGGAAAACTGGCCAATAAGACAGAGAAGTAAAATAGAATGTGGCGGGGAAAAGGGGGCAAAAACAATACAACAAAAATCCCGAGAAGTAAATAAAAGAAGAATATATCTGAATAATAGGCTTATTATAAATGGACAAATTTAGCTAGACGTCGAAAATACAGAATATAAAATAAAGATGTAATTTTGTCGAATATGTCTTGATGTAATAAAAGTTGAACGGTAAAAAACCATTTCTTTTTTTTGTTTTGTTTTTTTTTGGGGGGGGTGTATTGTGTTTTCCTCTTCTGAGCGTCTTTTATAATTTTACTAAGGGCTAGCAATGAAAATGGCGTTAAACAGTACTTCTCAAACTATCTGATATGTCGAACCAGCATTTTTTTTCTCTCAATGCGTCACGTACCTGTAATATTTCGTGATAATGTTAATTTATACCGGAAACGATATATATAATGAATATAATAAAAGTTGACTATTTTTTATCTTCTATTTATTTAGAAAAAAAATTTTTTTTTTAAATAATTCAATATCAGAACATATAAAAAGTAATAAAAAATAAGCAGTTTATTAACACAAAAACTAAAATTATATAAACTTCAGTCAGTTATGCCTCATGCGTGATACAAAAATTCAGAACAACTCATTAAACAAAAAGAATGAAATAATGAGGAAATGCAGGCACCTAAACAAATACTTACTTTGCTATCTAAATACCAACATAAAAAGAAATGAAAGAAATGCAACACAAAGCACAATCCCATCACAAAGACAAACCTCTATACCTAGCATCTAATCCATGCCAATCTGAAACACAATCAAACCAGAAAAGAATAACCACAAATATCAACAAACAATAACCAACAAAACTGACAATTACACTCTTCACAAAACGCAAAAAACATACACACAAACAATAAAAATAAAAAAAGAGAAAAGTCATGCAGGGACAGTCAGTTAGGTGTAAAGTTATGTACCATGCGTGATACACGAGTAGGCGTATTTTTCGATACATGACTGACGAGGTAGAGTTTTTTTTCCGCAGTAGGTTGCCATTTCTTTCCGCGCTAGACCAGTTGCTATATCTGTCCTGCTATTTACTCATTGCTGGAGAGAGAAGAAGCAAGATTCATACCTTTCCCAAGGTAATCGATTCGACTGGAATTCGAACCCTGCTCTCCGATTCCTCAATCCGAGCCGCTATCCATTACTCCACCGAGCCTTCTTTTAATCTATACAAATGATTCCTTGGCATGGCCTGGCCGCGTACCGGTAGCTGAAGATTCCCTTAGAGGAACCGGTCCATTGACCATCACTTTGAGTAGCACTGGTGTAGAGAAAACCGGATATGGAAGCATATGGCGGCGTGAGTAAATGAGAAATGTCCTAATTGATAATCCCTTGTCATCGCTTTCAAGATTTTATAAATGCTAAATAGATTTCAAAGCTATTGCCAATCCTTGATGTTGTCCGCACGCTTGTAAACGTAAAAAAAAACCCTGATCGTAAGGAAAATGAGAAGAAACGATAAAGCAAAAATTAATAATGGCAGAACCTGTTCTAAGAAAATCGGATAATTTAATTTAATAGTCTAACTCTAGTTGTAAACAAATTAATCAAAAATTCATTACGAAAATACTTCACCTACGAAATTTCCTAAAGCGGCACCAATTTTTAAAAAATTCTTTAAATACAGTATATATAGCTGGCCACACATATTCGACGGTATCCGTCTTACTAGAGCGGCTAGCCAATCCCTATTACAAACGCTTGCTCAGGCGCATTTGTGTTTATTAAACACCAACAGAGCCCACCTGGGGTTTATTCTGCAATTATGCTGAGCGGATCTTAATTACAGTTTCTGTGGGGGGGGAGCGTGGTATCTAGCGGAATCAACAATTTGAACAAGGCCAGAAGGCTCAATCCATCGGCCACGATGACTGGTGACTTCGTGCTAGCACATCTGTCGACGGCTCCAGGGCTTCCGTCTACCCACTCACAAGACTTGGGTCAACCTGTGATATGCTTTATGGGATTGGCTCCTCCACCCTAATAACACCAGGAAGTATCCTTCCTGACAAATAGCCCATGGTGAGATTCGAACCAGAGTCTCATGGTTAGAATGCGAATGTTCTAACCACACGACCACTTTCCCATAAAATTATAGATTATATTAAATATTGTAGTAGATGTCATAATAGTGAAGTTGTACAAATTTCTTAGATGAAGCAGTGACATGATTAATTTTAACTACAGTAGATTCCCTCATATCCGGAGTGTCTCATATCCGTAATCCCGCATATCCGGACACGATTTTGATGTGTATATTTGAAGTATTTCAGTGATGTGGAACTGATTTGAAATTTTTGTTTTTCAGGAAATTTATTTTGGGCAATTGCTTACGCTCATTTCACCCCCAATGGCTTGTATTGGTGAAAAAGTTGATGAAAATAAGTGGAAAAGATGACAACGAGACATACCTGCAATAGGATAGCGATAAGATGCATGATTGTGATGAAAACTGGACTGAAATTGAAAAAGCTATTGAAAAGGTTGTCAGTTTTATGGAAAGAAAGCCAGCATTCAGCTACGGCCATTGCAATAAGACACACAGAGTTAAAAGGTGTCTTTCGTTTAAAACATTTCAAGAAGAAAAGCAAAACGAAATGCAGAAAAAGTTGAGAATGACATTAGAAGAGAAAGAATCATCATGCAACAGCGATTAAAAAATCCTCGTTACATTATCTGTTTTGCATACGTGGCATACTTAATTTAATGAATTTCCATTAACATTACATAATGTATTTCTTTTTCCTTAAAATCACTTCCGTTATATTTCACTCACCATTAGCTTATTTTGTTTACTATAAAACATTGAAAAT